TATAGGTATCAGAGGCTACAAATGATACTACTATGACTGTATCGACTAATCCCTAAATTCAGGTGAACATTTGGAAAGCAATCCTTTTCCTATCAGCATCCTATTAATACTCGCCTTGAAAAAAAAGAGTTAAATAGAAATATTTGCACACCTGGACTATCTTCATCACATCCAGCGTCAAAACTTTGGAGGCTGTTGCCTGAGCCGTCGAGCGACGTCCACCGGCTACCACTGTCGTGCCTTCCTGGAATGCCTCTCCTTCCCCGCGGCTAAAATTATAACTACGGTTAATGATGCCCCGCACACAGTGGGTTCTTTATTATTAACCTATTACCACTTAAAATATTGGCATAGCGCATGCCTTGCATTGCTGGCGACTTTTTGTTAGTGTGCAATGATTCCTGAGTTTTGCAGATCGTTTTTTAGTAGACGGGATCAGACCTGGTCACATTTTTAGCTAGTTGCCGACTGTCCAAATAATTAGTCAGTCCTTATGCGGAAAATTCGAAAACAACAAATTGCATTTGTTGTCGTTAATACTATTTTCAAGGATATGTAGAGCATTTGATGTGGAGATAAATTGTGAAATTATTTGACGTATAGTTTGCTATGTTTACCCATTCTCTGTAGGTGTGCGCAATGGTAGGGGGATTCCGGATTTCAAAGTGATAAACAGGGAATTGGGAGTCAGCCAAAACCACAGACCGCTTTATTTTGGGCGCAGAATGTTCTTACACAGCAGTATGAACCCACATTTCAATAATTGTCAAATACCCACCTAACTTTAATTCCTCCTAGGCGTGATAACAAATCTGAAGGGGTTAGAATTTTGCGAAAGGGGCGTGTCGTGTTGGATAAAAATGCATATGTCATGCATAATACTGAAGCGTAAGGAGCACTAACAATGCTCACTTGGTGTGGGCTCTTCTCAACTACACAACTATGCGTTTACAACGCGACAGAAAGGCCTAGAATCTTTCCTTTTGTCAATATTTTATTAATATAAGTTTTCTTATATTTATGGTAAGGGGGAGTTGCCAACCTCCCGCGCAGTCTCGGGAGTAAAAAGAGGTCGACAAAATGCAAATCAGAGTGCGTTATAATGAGTCAAAACGGAGAAAATTGGCCTGAGTGTTGACGTACCAACCAACCTTACCGACGTACCATGCAAATTTTGATCTAAATGAAATGAAGAGAATAGACTTCCAACAAAACTCCGATAGGTATGCAAATTACATGCTTTATACCTTGTGATAGTTCAATAAGTAATTTTTTATTATTTTATTTTTAGGGCATACTTCCGCATACTGCTTATTCCTCCGGAATTTATGAAGTTTTGAGGGAAGATTTATTGCCCTTCGTAGGCGCACGCGCCTGCTGCACTTGTGTTTTCACTGGCAGAGTCGGTAAACACTTGACGCACGAAATGTCGCCTACTCTAAAAACCAGCAGTCAATTTAAAATCTATCCCAATTTAATGTTTTGAAATTGCTAAATACTTTAACTCCAGTAACGACCACAGGCAATGAATTATGCGGCAGACGGCATAATAGCGCGGCCTGAGGCTTTTATTGAAACGTTATTTTCCACTGTCTGCTCCTCAAGTTCCGTGATTTTGTGAAGCATGATTTGTTAATTCGCAGAAAAATTATAAGTTGTCCTGCACGAATGTCATCTGTTGTGGTGAAATTGCACAAGGCTTAAAAATAGTCTTTTAACTTTGGGTATCTTTCTAATTTGTTTAAGACCTCTATTCATGGATGTGGAAAATACATCGGATGGTTGGAGCACGCAACTGCGCATCTAGCTCTCCCTTCAAAGAGCTTTGTTTGACATTTTATGCCGAATTTAAAAAGCAAACGTAAACAATCCAGCGAAAAAGTAAATACGTCCTTTAGCATTACTATTTGTTAATTCCCACGATTGTATAGGTTAAGTGTTACTTTCCACTTACTGTTAGCTGTGAAAGCTCTACTGCGTTGTAATTAATTGTCCTGACAAACCCATTATTATCGAATCTGTGAAATATTTGACAGCGAAATCGGTAGATAAACTGCCATGATTTATTCACTTTTCCCAGCCTGGGTTCATCCCAATGTCGTACATGAAACATCTCAAGGTATCCTTTCAACGGATGTAATAGGAATCTCCCCTCAACAAAAAGATTCGCTCCGATCTTGCCTTACTAATGGATAGAAGCATGAGCGATTAGCGCAACTAAAAAGTGGAAAATGCTGCAGTTTCGGAGGACACAGAAAGCACATATAGCGCTGCTGCTAAGTTTTTCATGCTGTATAAGATGCTAAAATTCGTGATCCCACTAAGGATTTAATGGAAATCAAGACCACATTGGATTATGATGGAGGGTCAGAAAATTGTCATGTAGAGGACGAATGCATTCTTGCTCGGTTGATGTTTACTTCACGGAATTCAAATTTTTGTCAGACTGAAAATGTTGGACTTCTAGGATTCGCATACCGATCCAGTACTACGAGATCGAGGACTACCAATGAACACTATGTTTCACAAAATCGGTTAGGCTCATTTCTCATCAAGTGTACGCTAACAGCACTTAAAATGTACTGCCAGTTTCACCATGAAAGCCAAACGTGAATTAATACAATACCATGTTTCATTTTTGCGTAGTCTTCGCCAAATGCAATGCATTCCTTGCGCGGTTCAGAACTCACAGCTTATCTACATGCAACGCCTTTAGAGCTCATATTAAAATAAACTCAACGCTGCAACCAAAAGTAGCAGGAAAACTTTACTTTCGCTTGCATTTCTATAAAGTGTACTGCATTCTCAAGCTGATGCAGTCTCAAGTAGCATCCACCGATTAACCTCTGTTACTGAAAGAAGTGCTGCAAATACGAAATATTTTCCTCCACTGAACTTAATTACACCTTTCTATTTTCACGGTGATGTATTTCCAATCCATTCGTCAGCTACTATAAAGTAGCTATAGGAATCATATTTATATGAACTTTAATAGAACTGATCCAGATTCATAAGAATGAATTGCTTTTCCACAACGATACAACAATGAGATGAACTGCTGCGTTGATGAGTAAGGATGTAAGAGATACAGAACTTCGTAGTCCTATCATCACACTGTCTACTCGCAGATAAAATGAGAAAGACTGAAGTAATCCAACAGCAAGCGTTGATAGTTAAAAGCTTTGCAGAGCCAAAAGTCGGTTTTAGTTGAAGACTCCCATCCACCACTCACCCGACCACATACTCCTACACCAGGACGCCTGTGGTAGCGTCGAACCACGCTGGATTTTTCGCCCATCCCCATAATTCGTCTGCGGAACTTTAACTTAGAGCGTTCCAGATCGTCATCCTCCGTAAACCGGCCCCCATAACTATCGTAGCGTTGCCCACTGAGGTCTTCTAAAGAGGGAGATGCTTGAGATTGTTGCATTTCCCCAGCAGATATCCTCCTTTCACCTCCATTTGAGGCTGTTGTCGAGTTGTTAGCAGAGTTCTGAGTGGCTGAGGATTGGCAGGACCCCTCTCCAGAGACAGAGCCGGTTAATGAGGCTTCTGGATCAGTTGTAGAGATGCCCAGAGATGTCTGCGATGGCTGCTGCTTGGTCAAGTCGTTAACGGGACCCTGAACACGTGCGACGGCGCCTCGAGCTAATGGGAAGTTAAGTTAGTTTCCTTAATTTCGATGAGTTCGGATGTCTTTAGATTTGAGTTTGTTGTTGATTCCCAAAGTGTCTCAACACTCAAAACCATTCAGCCATCGACATTAACAGTAAATCACAATGAACATTTTTGTGATGAGGCTGTGGTGACTATTTATCCTTCACAAATATCAAACTTACAAATCGGCATTACATGCTTCCGTGCTGTAATTGTAACGAAGTTATTATGTGGTGTTTGGGGAAAACCGAAGTCGGATACTTAAAGTTGTCTTGGTGTTTGGGTCAATGCCAAATTATGTTAAGCAGTAAATAGCCCACTTTATCCAAAAGATGTCAAAATATCCAAACCGTCTGACAGGATACTTTGTCAAATCTTTGCTATTACACATCTGCAAGTTATGGTCCAAAAATAGAATAATTCCCCACATGTACTGACGGAGGAATGACGACTCTGACAAGAGCATTCATGGATCCTATTGTTTTTATCGAAACAATAGCACTAATGAATTGTTATTATGGATCCGACTTTAAGTACATAAGAACAAACTGACCATTGATTTCTCAGCCTACCTCCTGGTTGCTGTTTGAAGCCTAGACAAATAGTCAAACTGAAGTCAAAGCGGGTAAATTGTTTTCTTCCATGAGCCGATGATACTGTGGCGGATTCTAAGCGAAACTGCCCCAGCTTACTGCACTCTCTAGCACTGCCATGCAAGGTTTCACTTCGCATCAGAGTGACTGTTAGTTCTGCTGTACAGGTTTGGGGTGACTACTCGATGTCATATAATTCCTTGATTACATGACCTAGTTGCCTTCATAATCCCGCGGATATATTTTTTTGGGAAACTGTCTGGACAGAAAAGCCGCTTGCTTCCGTGGGTGGAGTAATTAAATTTAAGTGACGTGCAGAACAGCTCGGCGCGAAGGTGCACGCGATCTTTGGAGTAACTCTGCAGCCCTTCATCGCCATCAGTGGCTCTGTTTAGCTTTCAGTAAGTAAAAGCTTAATTTAACTTGCAGCTTAAACCTCGCAGCATATTTATTCTAACTCTTCGGATTGCATTTCTTCATATGCTGCGTAAATAGTGTAAATTGTTGATGGCTAAATCAGGTGGAGAAGTAAAACTGTAAATGAGATTTGCCTTATAATGTTTACTGCAGTACCGACTGAATTTAGGATTTTAATTATTTACTATTTTTATGGTGAAATATAAAATTTGTTAAATAAAAATGCCACAAATGTCGCATCACAAATAAATGCAACGGACAGACCTATTCTATAGGATAGTGCTGTTAATGAAAGGAATGCAAATGCAATTTTGGCATCATTCACCGTTTGCTGAATCCACACCCAGATTAGAGGCTGGGAAAGAGATTGTTTGAAACATGAAGAGAAGTCTCGAATTTTCGAGGCTTTCGGTGAATCTGCGTTTCAGACCCGGTTGCAATCGCCACCTATGTCGCCGATATGTTACAAGAAAGTGGGGTCTCGATACGGGTAAACCTAAATTGGTAAAATGAAAACAAAGCGTTTTACCATTTTGACAGTTACTGTGTTTTTTTTAAGTTATGAACAATTTGAAAAGGTTGAGCACAAGTGCTGTTTTACTTGAAGTTTTGGAAGTAAAAATAAGCTCGTTTTACGAAGGTTCGAAATGCTTGCTCACGTAGTGGTAAAATAAAATTTAGCTGAGTTAACTTACTTTATATTCGGGAAAAAATGCTGCTTCACGAAGCTTCATTACATAGGAAATAATCTTGTCGGTACATTTTTACCTTTTCTGCCGACTGCATGCCCAAACGGTCGACAAATAATCCCTCCGTGTCCGCTCGCTCGCCCGCCCGCCTGCCCGTCCGTCCGGCCGACCGTCCAGCCGCCCCCTGGCCCCCACCCTCTCGGCCTTCCTTGCACCCTCCCTCCCTCCCTTCCTCCCCTCAACCGGCTGACTAAGCCGACAAATAGGGCGTGCGCTACGACTACGGCTTGAAGCGCAATCAACCAATCAGTCGCCATCAGCTCTGAGGCAAAAAATTCAAGGCCACGTTGGACGATTCGTCAAAGTATGCAATGCGTGTTAATCGATATGACCACCACTCGCAAAATCGTGTGCCCCTTTTTTGCACTTCAACGAATCTTAAGTTGCTCTCTCCTTGCCCTCACAACCGTGATGGTTTTGCACTGTTTTATACTATTTGACCTTATTAATAAAAATTAATTTGGCTCGGCATGGCATTGTGTTCTCTCTCCAAAATCCAAACCCCTATAGGTCTAGAACTTATGCTTTGTCTCAGATTGCGTGCTTCCAACAACTGATGTCATTATTTTCATGACCTTGTGACCCGTTGATCAATGTAAAATCAATGAGTTCACTTTTCATGACCGTGCTCGTTTCGAGCGAACAACGCGTGAAACATGTGAGCCCCTCGAGGTCAAGCCCAAATAGCCAACCAGTTGACATGCCTTTAAGGTTAATGTGATGGTTAAATTCATGCAACAACTCAACACAGTGCCAATGCCTTGAGAGATCACATGTCTGCAAATCCTAGGACTAGACAAATCGCAACCCATTTTGGAAGATGTACGCCTAAATGCAATTTGGATCGGAAGTCGTGTGGCGCGTTAAAAAGGAAATATGCATAAACAACTCATTATTAGTTAGTTAAAGTAGTAGTACTGTCTTCTGATGATTGATAACCTATCTATTTTATGAATTCTCTACCTTTGGTCCCACTTGTCACCCTTGCACGAGAATGTCACCATCAAATCAAAGGGCGTTGTTCATGCTTAAGTCTACCAATAAGAGACTAAAAGGGGGCGTTGGCATCCTGCTCAAGGCAATTTAGATCTCATTATTGGTAAACCGCCTCATTGTTGTAAGACATAAAAATGAACAAGTCGAGGGTGTGAGATGTTTACTTCGAAGGATTCTATTCAATGCTTATTGCCATACTTCATAGGTTTCTCTGCGGTCAATGCAAAAATGGTACTTAACTCATTTAAATAAAACTACACAGGACAGACGCGAAAAGTTACATGTATTACAAAAGCCTCAACATTTGTAGAGTGTTGGATAAAATTTGTAAAGTCGCTTAAAAATGTTTCTGCCATCACGTGGACTGAAAACCCACGCTCTAGGCCAATCAGTTAAGTGCTGCATGATTTCCTACCCTTCCTATTTTCTGTTTTACCTTGTTTGCAACTTGCCGTTCCAAAATTTAATCGTCCAGTCACTACAATAGGTGCACAGCAAAAGTGTTCATTATTACACTCGACAATATACCTACACCGTGGAATCGGTTGGAGGGAAATGCAAATCAAAGGATGTAGAACCTCAGTCCCGATTGGGTAACATTGAATTTATTAATCAATTTGATAGTAAAAATTAAGTGGAAGTTCTTATTATCAACGCAAGAACTTCATGTAACTTCCCATCACAGTTATGATCTGTAATGTTTTCGTTCATCAGAAACTGGATGAGTCATCGTCGGGTCCTCCAATTGGTCACTGCGTCAACAACAGCGACGTCGAATGACGCGTCTTCGCGTGAGTTTTGACTGACTTGTTTGGACGTTTTTTTAAAGTTGAAGCACAGTATCTCTGGGCCACACGGCCATACTGTAACCGTCTGACGAGCATGGAAGGCCTGTTTTGATGTAAGACCCTTAATTAAGCTATTGGTTAGAAGCCAACAAAATTACCTTCAGGGTGTGGAAAAGGCAGTGATTGACCCACATTCGTTGTTGGGCCTTCCTCTTGGGTTTTCGAAAAAGTTTCGTGAGTACCTGCCATTTATCTAGTTTTCTTCTACTCGATGGACAAAAGTGGTGACATCTAGTTAATTTATTCAGTAAGCTGAGGCTCTAGGTATTAATGCGAAACTGGCAGATAGTAAAGTCTGAGAAGATACATTTTAAAATATAATATTTGACTTGTCCTCAGTCATGCATCGGTTCGAGACTTTCTTAACGGTCCATTTCGTTGAGATAAGTTTTAAACCTTGAGACAATATAGGACTGAGGTTAATGCTAGCATTTAAACTAATTCGAAAACCAGATTTCTTTTCCATTTAGACTTCTTCCTTCAGTCTTGGATGGATTTCATCAGTAGCCACTATTTACGCTCAAGGTGAGGTAAAGTCAAAAGATCAATGTCTGCGAAAACTTAACAAAGTGAAAAGAGAGACCTTGTGACAATAATGATTATTACTTCCCTTTATGATTGATCGTGGGGGGTGCCAATCTTCCTGCCATTGAAAACGCTTTCCCTTAGCACATGGAAGTGTCATTTGATTTGGTTATCAATAACAAAGAAACACTGTGGCCCTAAATGCGTTTGAACATTCAATTATTTGGTGATGCAGCTTAGGCAAGGGTTTTACGCATTATGCATCTCTCTAATCTCATTTACAAAAGTCTTAAATAGCTCTGTGCTTCAGTAAGCAAACAGGCTAAATTGCTTTGCACAAAACAACACTCCTTTTTTAAAACGCTGCGTGTAATGTCTGACCAAATTAATAGTTTTTAGGCATCCAAAATCCGTATACTTTGGAACGCTGGCATTTTTGCTGGGGATAAATGGAGTTCAGTAGGGACTATGGCAAAAGTGGACATCCTTTTATTATTGCCCAAGTGTAGCATGATTTGGCACGAAATTAATTAAGTCTACTTATACTTAATTTTTTTGGTCTGAGTGATATGCCTTTGTTCAAGTGGAATGGCATTTTGGTACTGATTCGAAGAATTGGAAGATGATAGTTGAGAGATTTGCCTACTTTTGATACGCGCTTGCACGGAGCGGTGCAACCAGGGTGCTGGTCGCTGAGCTATCTGCGTCGCAGTATCGAAGAAGTTGGGTCTATCCACCCTGCCTTTGCGAAGTCGTCGGTTGAAGGCGCAGGCATCCGCGAGGATGGAATCATAGCGTAGCAGGTCGGGAGCGCTGGCGTTCGAGGCAGCCGCAGAGGAGACGAGGTCGGCTGGTACTGTGGAGACGGTTGCCATGCCCGCGCGCGCCACTCTATGTGCTGTGTCGGTGTACCGTCTGCTTCCAGTCCGTCTGAAAGGGTACGTGGAGGTTTAGGGGGGCGTGGGCAGGATTCCTATTGGTCCGTCGAAGCCAATGAAAAATTGGCAATGCGCAGCGCGGCGATATGGAGTTGCCCAATTGGAAAACAAACGGGGTTTTTTTTTTAAAAAACAGAGGGTTAACGAGAGTCATTAGAGTGCAATGTTTTTTTATTCAACATATATGCCACTTCGTTAAACAGGTATCTGCAATCTCCTCTAAAATGCGAAATTTGAATGGTATTTTTGTAAAAAGTCCGTGTGTGTACGGAAATACCTTCCTGAAGTCTTTACTATTTTCGACAAAAAATAGTATTTCAAAAGACACAGTCACACACACACGCACTACTAACTTTAATAACAACTTTGGATACAAAATACCCATTTTCGAAAATCGTTTAACTGCTCCACAGGTAGAAACAATAAACTATTTCAGTTTATTAAGGTAGCATGAAGCGGTTGTGTCTCCAACCGTTCGTGTATATCAAAATCAATCGGGAATAGGTTTCCTTACAGTGTCCTATTGCTAATATTTTGATTTCACCAAAAAGAAGAAAAAAAATTAGTCTTGCAAAATTTGAGGGTTTAGTTTCATTAATTTAACACTTTTACGGCAGTACTACTCAGCTCTCATTCCCATACTTATCATCGAACCATACCATATTAAAAATAGTTGTTTATCAAAACCAGGACATTACAAATGTCAACAATATGCCCCAACGTTTGCATAAATCAGTGCGGCAGCTGTTTCGACCAAAGCATACTGTTTTGTATCGCTCAACCGACTGGGGTTGAACTTTAAGTAAAAGGCCAAAGAGTTTGCGCTTAAGGAACAAACAGTGACTTCCCTCTTTGAACAGAGGCAATGAGTTGCATTCAGTAATTCATTAACAGCCGATATCGCTAATCCTTCCCTAGAATGAGTTACAAGTTACAACCCAGTAATCTCGCTTAGCACGAACAACTGGTTTGAATTTGGACAGCTTTGAAGCGTAATGGCTGTTGTTGTGGTGGTATTTTGGACGGTATTTCGCTTAATTATTTGGATGCAGAGAGCCAACTCAGAGACACCCTTGTAATCGAAACTTCAAAGAATAATCACGTAATTGCCGAAATCCAGTATCAAATTGCCTGCCAGCTTCTAAAAATGCATCGAATAGAAAATTAGAGAACAAACAACCTCACCTCTGTAGACATCGCAATCATCTCCAGGTAGGTGAGGTTTCTTCACATTCCAAGCAAGACATTTTCTTTTTATAATGTCTCCATTCTGTGCTTATTACATTTGTCTGTACTTATAGAGATAAGACAAATAGATTTATCCAAAAAAAACCTTTAGAAGATTGAGAGAAACTATTTCAAAAGCTCCACACACTATTAAAATGAATTCTGCAAAACTGCAAAGTTTAAACTCAGGTTTTGCGTGTGTACTACAGCAGTGGTATGAAAGAATCTGGTCAAGTTTTAAATGCCGATGCAAGGTCATAGTCAGATGAGAAGCCGACCCAGGTCTGGATGAAGCATACACTTTGACTACACACCTTTGCTGCCGGGTTCTTGCAAGTGTCAATATGCACTGGTCTAACGCCTGCTTTGCTTTCAATCAAGGCCGTGAAAACTTTGCATACTATTCCCGGACTAACGAATGAAGTGGAGAGTGAGAGATTAGCTACCTAAATGAAGGGGACACGTGAAACTTGGAATGCCACAATCCAAGATAAGATAATGAAGACCCTATCCCTGTTTAACCTTTAAAAAGTTTTTTCCAAAATCTCTACATCCAACGTAATGGGATCTCGCAAGAGATTTAGCTTAATAAAATGACTTTTTCAATCTTAACTTGTTGCCACCACGATGGAGTGGCTTCAGTCTAAAACAGGCATACCCGAACAAAAGCTGACGACCAGAAATGTGGTTTGGCTGGGATTATAGATTGAATCGAAGTTGATAGCAGTGGAAACCTGGATGCTTCTATAAGGCTTTCATGCGTTAAACTTTGCTTCCAAAGGTTTTAGAAATTCTCCATGTTTTTGAACGCTAGCTGTAGGCCTCAAAAATGCTTGGAAGTGCTCTAAATTGTGCCAAATAGGGGAACTACCATTAGCAGTCATTAATTTATGGTGAAAGTAAGACAATCACGACCGCTTCTTGGTGTTTTCTTAAGTCGCATTGATCTCGACGCGAACATGAAATAATCTGTTCATACCCTTCGATCACTTGGTCAGTGGTGTGCCTTTTAATTTAAAGAATTTGCGATCCCAATCCTTCAGCATGGCAGGACTGGCCTCTACAAGACAACAGCTTACTGGAACCATTACTTAGTACTCTTCAGAAGTGCAATCTTTGCATATTCACTTCGATGAAGGTGGAACCCTCCTCAAAGTTAAATTCAATTACGATTACTGCACTGCCGAACGGCAGGACCGCAGACTTTAGAAATGATAAGAATAACCAAAAACAGACAAATTAGGAACATCATGTCTTATGAGCATGGACAATGACAACCCGTTACGTGAGCAGTTTTTCCACCCCAAACAGACTTGCGAATACCCTTAACCAACCATGAAGATGCATCATTAAGTGATTATTTCAGTCAGATGCGTCAATCACTTTTGCCCTCCCAAACAAAGTGCGCACCTCAAGATTTGAAAGCATTCCACTGCAATCAGTAACTAGCGTATCGACCAGCGTTACAATTTAGGAATCTGAATAGACAGCACTTCACTGTCTGAATTGAACCAGAGCCGGGGCACAGCAAGGCATCGAGAAGCTGACTACTCGCCGTCTTCCTCGTTTAAATAGTCTTTTCACAACTTGCCACCCGTGTGGAAATGTGACGCAGGCGACAGCAGCAAATATTAGAAAACCACTCCGTCCCAGTAGTGATTGTTGTTGGTACTATGTCAGTTACCGGGTCTTCGCTTCAAGATGACCGCAACGCAATTCTCAACAGTTGTTTCGTGAATGCACTAAACATGTTCCGATTACAACATTTAGGGTGTGGCAACATGCACGATAATGATGATGATGACGATGATGATGATGCCTGGTGTGACAATGAGCGAACACAGAGGTGGCAGTAATGCATCGCCGTCATGCGTAAAAGTCAGAAAATTCCATCTCATGAAGTGTCTATGTATCGACATAAATCGGAAGTAGTATGTACAGAAGGAACCATTTGGGATAAACTAGTCTCGAGTGCCAGCTTTGCGGAGACTGCGGATTTTCTTCATTTCGCGGTACAGAACATTACGCTGAACAAGGGGATCGAAGGCGATCATCTCTTTCTTGGTGGTCATCTGCCGCGGACGGAAACCGATCATTTGATGGCCAGTCACCACGCTCTCCATCAGCACCATTACCGTTTTTACAAAACCCTGGGTCGTTGAGGTGGACATGACCCACACCTGAACAAAAGCGCACAATACTTTGACGCAGGAACACTCAAGACAGTAAAAATGACATCACAAGCGTACGTTTGTTGGTTTAAACACCAGTAAGCAATCCTAGTCCAAACCAGCAAGGATTACACCAATTGTCTACCAAAACTTCAAATTGAACTACACATAAATCTACCACGATTGTTTAAGGAAGACATCAAAAATCCTTAACAAAACGACTTATAAGTGCGATAAATGACAAATTCCAAGGTGGAAATGAAGAGCGATTGAGGGGAAAATAGGACTCGAGATGAAAGGCAAGTAGTTTAAGAACACCCCGCATCAAAATCAGCAACCAAGTCATGCGATTTCCGTACCAGAAAGAAGAGAAATTTAACAATAGAAACGGAATAGGTATTTATTGTAATACGTTAGGACCAATGTACACATAGGATGAGAAGAGGTATTTGATATACTCAGAGCACATACAGGAAAATGCCACACAAAAGCATGGGATTTGGCTTAAATGTCCTGAACGAATAAGGAATCGGATTTTGCCAGCCCAATCTCATCAATGCGACTCATGAGAGGTAGGTCGTTTAAGCGAAGCCGTGGATGCACTCGAATTAGCTCAAACGTGGAGGAAGGATAACCTTCCGACTTGAGATAGGAGAATAGCGACTAAAAGTGAAAAATTGAAATCAATGAAGTAAAACCCATTGCCTCAGTTAAAGAGGACTCTCAAAGGTACCTATTGGTGCCGCAGTTGGAGCTGAAAAAGGCAGTTTTGACAGAGTATTAGCTGCCTCACGGAAGTCTTACCGGTTACTGTTTACCAACTCAATTCATGAAAGAAACGCACTTGTAAACGGAGACTGGGCTCCAGGTTCAACACAGTTCTCCGGCCACAAGGAAAACGCAGGGCCACTCGAAAGGCGTTGGAGGGATCTGTCACCGGAGGCAACGCATTTAATGGTAGCGCAGACTGATCTTCTTCCATAATCGGAGAGTCAGCCTCCTTGTAAAGGATCCTAGCATCCTCCTCATCGTCTTCCTCCAAAACGAGATCGACAAAACACAAGGAATCAGCATCGTCCTCTACCAACGAACGTTTCGACGGGCCAGCTCCAGAGGACTAGAAAAATTGAACCAAGCCATGACTTTGCCAATGCAAGAAAAGGGCTCGAACGGTATCGAATGCACAACTACTGCACTCAGCAGTAGGCTAAGCCACGCATAGGACAAGTAATTATGGCGTAGTCCAAAAGTAAATGACAAAGAGCTCCCACAATGTTCCGTAGAGGTGGATAAGGTAACGTGTTGTAGAAATTATTCCCTCATGCCACAGATCATGAGAACGTCAGCCTGTCGAAAGCGCACTACTTTCCTTTTGTTTTAAGCCCACTCTTCATGAAACCGCTTGAAATTAGCGTACATGAATCATGTTGGTCTGTTTTATAAAACGAGTTTTGCTCGATGAATAGGCGCCAAGTCGCCCATGTTCCTGTAATTACAACATTTTTTGTGTACTAAACAGCAGATACGATTATTCACCAAAGATTTCCCCTCTGAAAACTGAGCGATAATTGCAAGTCGACATTTATCCACCTCATGCGACAAAATTTGAAAGTGAAAACTCAAAACTAAAAACCAATCGGAATAAGAGAAGACAATTTGGATTCATAAAAGACAAGGCAAGACCTCTTACCACCCCAAAACATCCGCAGGATTTGTGCTTTGTAAGTTATCACCCGCATCCTTCATGTTACCCTTAAATTTTCCCGCTTGATAATTGACAGCTTCCCTTGATAGTAGGTAGCCACAAACGTAACAGCCAGTTGGAAATCCACAACGGGATAAAAATAGTGGTGGATATGCTTATGTTTAGTGTTTTTAGAATAAGCGCTTAGCGGAAGCAAAATCCGCAGGTCTGCCCTGGCTCGAATGTTACAAATCTAGGATTGTGGTGATGATTGTTCAACCGAGCTGAATGGTTCAAGAAACATTTCACATTTATAGAATTCTTGAAACAATAGCAAGAACTTATTTGAGAACCTGCAAATACAGGACGTCAAATGTCTACTCTAACATTAAATATTAATAAACATGAACAACCAAGACGACACACCGCATCGACGTTTCTGCGCTTCAAGGCGAGAGAATGCTTAGCCGTATTTGTGAAACTAGATGAGGTTGATGGAGCGACCGTTGGTGCTTCGGGAGAAGTGTCGATAGTAGAGCCATATGCGGACGTTGACGACTAGAGTTCACAAAGAAGGGAAACCTTAGCAAGAGGCATGTATGGAGCAAGACTGTAATAGTTAAATCCAATCAGTCAAAAGTTTGAAGCGCAACTTTGTGTAAGATACCCTAAGAAGAAAAAAGCAGTACTTCAAGGGCAAGTTGCTAATGTTAACGGCTTAACAAAATGGGACCAGTTTCGGAGGAGACAGCTAAAACCTATCCTATGCGACTTTGGGTAATAAAATGAGTACGATCGGTTCTTTCGACCTTGGCATCCGAAACAGATTACCTACTAACGATCAAGATTGCCTATTTTTGTGGCTTATCCAAGGGCTTGTTTGGGTTTGATTTAGTTTACCTGATTTTGTTTTACTTTTGTTTGATAATTTCTGCTGCCTGAAGCAAAACTCAAAGCCAAATTAGATGAGGGTGACGTTGACACATGAAAACTTCAGTAAATAGACTAGGAAAGCAATTCTAAGTGGAGATTTGCGTGAAAGCACATACACGCACACAGTCGCAGTCACATATGCACTTTAACCTTTTAGAAGAGTCGCTAATGCTGAATTTAGGCTAGAAAAGAGCGCCTCGAAGGAGTGAGGGCAAGGAAAGGAGAAAGGAGAGATGAAGAAAAAACAAAGCATGCATAGAACGCACAAACCATGCGATGTACATCTGATTGGCCTACGGAGTTAGCCAATGAAATGAACAAAATGGCATGCAAGCACAGTAACCAGCAGAATTTGATGTTTTTAACTTCGCCTTCGGTAAAATGCACTGCTCCTTTAGTCTTCATTTTCCTCTCTCGTTATGATAAGGAACTTTGGAAAAGGCGTGAATACCTTTAATTTCTTCGGACAATTCGGGAGGAGGGAGATCGAATTAAATACCATGACTAGTCAATTCAAACAAGAGCTTTCAAGTCTACAAAAAGGCAGTATTTGAAGCAATGCAGAAATAAAGAAACCTCCAAGTGACAGCGGGAGGAATTTTACCGAAACTGAGGAAGAGGTGCCATTGGCAGCCTTGAACCGATGAGTCTTCAATGAGAAATAAGTAGACCCCAGTCCAGAGGGTTCAAACGATCCCATTTCAGCAGGGGCAGACTGAAGGTGCGATCCAAATACACTGGCAACGGTGGTGAACGCGTTGGTCTTAGATATATCAGCATCCAAGCTCGGGGGAGTCGGGTGAGCCAATAGGAACTTCGATACTATAGGTAGAGGAAATTAGAAGTAGGCACACAGATACGAACAGTCCAAATATGAAATCATATTTGTATTTCCAAACACCCGCTGATGATAGCCGAGCTACAAGCATAATACAAGAAGAGAGTTTAATGCACTACTAAGTGCCAACTTAATTAGGACAAGAGAGGAACGGGGCAAATGCTGGGATGAATTAATCCAAGACAAGTAATAACCAGGAGAGACAGGTGAGCATCGAAGCTTCAATCAAAGGATGAAAATGAATAAGTTCCAGTTTTCAACGTACTAGATATTAATTTTGAATGAATAAGCAATATGAAATTATTCTTCTTGTAGGCATCTCTAGATGGCTAAGTTGGTCAGGATCTATAAAACTCTCGGAAGGCATGAAGATAATGGAAACAATAAAATAAATGCTTAGATCATAAGGGCAGTCAATGAGAGACTAAAGTCGTGAAAGCATTAACGAAATGTGAACACTGGTATGCATTGTCCTTATACTGTTACCATAAGGTGAGATTTGGACAGAGGTCGGGACATGAAAACTTACAAACACTCAGTATCTCGCAAGGAGTTTTAAGGTGATTCCAGAAAATCCTCTGTTCTCCCGTAAATGGATTCAGAAACGCAATATGAGTCGCTGAATCTATGTAGGTGAAACGACTTCGGTACAGCGTCCCATCAGGTGATTTGATGTTCAACTAACGAAATAAAAAAGTACAAGGTCTTTTTAGTATTTGAGAAATTCCGTAGAACTTTTTTAAGATTTACGAGCGTTAAATTTCACCTCGTACTTCAGAAGGATGAAAGATCCACAGATCTACCAGTTTTCAAATGATAAGACTGCGTTGAAACTAACATAAGATAAGCGTAAATGAACGTTAAGCAAGATACATCGATAACGAAGAGAAACATCAAGCATGAACAGCCGAAAATCCATTTCAGTCATCCGCGATACAATGTGGAATGATGGTTGTGTCGAAAAGTCAGTCATGGAAAATACCTCTGAACCTGCGAACTCGACGTCTAGATGAAAAGCTGTGGGGTCAAAGAAACGCAGCCTATATACCCTTAAATGTTTGGCACATCAACACGTAAGTGAAAGTGATATCCACAGCTGGTATTAGACCTGACAGGATAATGGCAGTAATATTTGGGTGTAACTTGGATAAAATAACTTCATTCAAGTCACGCGCCTCCAAAGCAGGGAGTTAAGCCAAGGTTCCTAAAACGTGAGCGACCCCTGTGTGTCAAGGTAAGTATGCCAAATATAGGACATGCTACCAGGATGAGTAACAATAGTCACGGACGCGACAGTGGGCGACATCCCGTCGACGAGTCACCGCATGACCTTGGACTGTGACGTGACGGTAATGAAAACGCAACGAAACATAGTTGAGGGATTAGCATTAGTTATACCTGAAGGAAAATCACGTTCTTTCTGATGAAATTAATAATACGATAGTCCTTCCACACATCCCGGTTGAGCACACGGCAGTCGAAGCAGGAGTCGTCGTAAAGGCTAATCAAAATCCACTTCTGCCGGCCACGTGCCGCTTCCATAGCCTGTAATGCGAGATTCAGCATTAAAATGCGTTTCAACCTCGATAATAACCAAAGGCCCTAATTCTTAGAAAATGAATGAACTTCTAGTTCATGACTTAAAGATGGAAAGGGCAGCAGGAAACTCCCAATGAGGGCATGATTACAATATCCTGTGTAAAAATAAATACGACTTTGCTATTTTAACATTCAGAACAAAGACGAAACATAGTTCAAGCGTCACAAATGGAACACAAAACCATGAGAGTCTCACATTTCAGGATAGACCTTGTAGCTCACTTTCCGAAATGACGCTAAAAACTGCCACTGAGGTCACATTCAAGGGCAGTGAAAGCAGAGCACGTGCGTGCGGAAGATATAAGAATCACAACAAGATCTCGGTACAAAGTAGTAACTGAGCCAGAAAAACAATGCTATCAGGGATTAGTTGCTCTAGCCGACGTCAAGATAAGTGTCAATACAAGGATTCAAAAGGGCAGAGAGATATTACGGCACAACTGCTGCTGCCATGGTCGATAGCCAGTCTCGCTTGCTCGAACGTCCGCTGCTTAGCAGTAAAAGTAAAAAACAACTCCCATCCACCAAACAAAACCGCTTTTAGAAACGAGGACGGGAACAAGAAAAGGAAAAAATATATCCATTTTCTTAAGCTTTAACAACTAACGGAAGGTTCAATTAGCATGCTTCGGTTTATCTATATGAGACTCAGGAGTAAAAAGCGCCACCCAAAGAAAATCTGCCATTTCAAAGCTTTGATAGTAAGACAAGGTTACCCTATCCGAGTAGCGAAAGATCTATGATGCACATTGTCAAAACATCTTTTGGCAGGAACCCTTTCTTTTGGTTTTACTCTCCTTGTAACAAACCCCGGCAAACTACTACAAATAAATGGTTTACAGTTCAGCAATTGCGCAATTTTAGCCTAAATGTTAAAATACGAGATATATAAGCACGAGATAAAGCTTAGAGCTCTTAGCCAACTAAAAGAGGATTGAAGAGGGCCTCAATGGCTTTTATTACACAGCAGATACCCAGGTGGGGCCTAGACGGAAGTGTAGGAGTTGTGGTAATGCCGCGTCAACAGCTATCTTAAATTTGCAAAGTAATATAGAGCACATACTTGTCGCAAGGTACCACCGTACATGAGTTCATACGGAGGTGCAAATAACTGTTCCAGGGTGGTCCTCTTCTTGTTAAACGGTGGTAGTTTTCCTAGTGAACGATCCACGGTGTCCTGGGTTAAATCGACATAGAACTCATCAGAAAAACCGGGATGTCAAATTAAATTTAACGGCGGTAAGCTGTAAAACAAGACCTACGAGATTGTCAGACGAAGAAGACGGTGCGTTGTTGTTTGCGTCAGAGGAGTCAGATTTTCTGACAGCTACCCAACCACAACGATCACGCGAATCCATAAAAAAAGAGCATAGTGCAACGTAGTTCGGACTAATCTAATGGTAAATATTGAACAGTCCTATCCACTTAAAGCTGAATCATCCATCCCTAAGTCGAGAGCTTTCGAAACAGCACAGCCCATTGATATCATGAAAACCATTAATCGCCATCGACGTACCTTCACGGAAGACCGCAGGCTGCGATGTAGAATGTTCGGACGAGGAAATCTGAGAGGTCCTACTCGCAAAAAAAAGGTCCACGGCCATCTGCAAATTCCCATCATTGGCATCCAAGAAAGACTTAGCAGTGTATACATCACAGCCTTAAGGAATCAGATTATACTAGAAAGGCGAAGTACCTGTTAGCTCGCAGAAGTGCTCGATCACTCCTGACATACCGAAGTATCCGTCATATAAATGCGCTAAGCGGGCGGACAGAGCAAATTGGCGGAACGTGAGGACAAATCCCGGCTTACAAATGGAATTATGCGTGCAAGGCTAACTCCGCCCATTATTAAAAATTGGTCAGCGTCCCCTATAATATTTTTGTAATAAGCTTCTCCTAAGTTGAATATCAAATTCCAAATGACGCAGATACAATTGCTTTGGGCAAGAAAAAAGACAGTATCTGTTCCCCTAAAACGTATTTTAGAATGCTCAAACCTTAAGCCCGACATTTAAGATGAATCTAAAATGGCACCATTTTTGAAATGAGCTGAGTTTAACCAACAATTCAGTTAACTTTTACACGTGATCGTTGCACAAAACTTTGGTGAAATGTAAATATAAGGTTCCACAGCTCCACTTTGGTTGACAAAAGGCATTAAATAGGTCTGATTACGTGCTTTCGAGGGCTATAGAGCTTTCGCTTAACCCGAAGGTCAACCTACGCAAGCATTAGCACGACAGATACGAAAGTGAATGTCAATCAAACAGACATCCAAATGTACAAAACATTGCAGTGTTTGCGTATGGTCCATTCACTTGTACCTCTAGTGGATAAAAGCTAAGTCTTCTTTCCGCTGACCGGAGCTTAATGTTGTCTCTTCATCACTATCATTTAGTTGAGGAACTCCGTAAGAGTCTTTTGTCTGCGAAAAATTTTTTCCGACATTATAATAATATACAAGAAATTGATAGGATAGATGGGGTAGACCGATTTAGCTCCTGTGACTGAAGTAACGTCATTCTCTGGCAGAAACATGTTCGTTCTGAATTCGTGCTTCCGGACTGCAAAAAGCGCTTAAACTACTCCCATGCATTGCACTTTAGGTGTTTCTTGCGTCGAAATAAAACAGCATCTCTATTTACATGGACAAAACATCAATATTATAATGGATTTTGAAAATTCCAAGTATACTGCTCATTTTGGCTTATGCTGCATTTTATAGCATGATAGCAGGAACCATGGATAGCACTTGACGATTCAAATTTTGATGTAATTCTGAGGCATACTAATTTGATTTTGAAATACGCAGTGCAACGGACCAAGTTCAAAGTCCGGGATTTCAAAAGCACCTATTTTGTTGCACATCGGTTCAACAGCAGGTGAGAACCCAGTGCTGGTATGGCCATATATGATTAAGCTGATTCAGATGTCAGAGAATTTGTGATGGCATCCAGTTAATTATAAACCATGTAACTCCATCCCCTTAAACAAGCAGGATTTGATGAGTAAGTCCCGAAATTTGCATGATCCTAAGGCAATACTCTTAAAAATTGTTTTGCTATGGAAGTTAAGACAGGAATAATGGCTAAGCACATGGGTTTGTGCAAGATTAGCTTAGCGTCAGTCCTTCCTAAAATCGGTGCCTTATTCTCCGTGCCCAGTAGTTGAGATTTCGCAATCTAAAAGAAGGCCAGGGTGGACATAAGGCAGACCACTCGTCAATATACCCGGCTGTAAAATAAATTAGGGTCACATTAAGTGCTCCACAATGCTTAGGCTGTTTACGTTAACTGACGCAGGTGGGTTGAACGATATTAATCAGTATGTATGGTGGTTGTTCAAGTTGCCACTTGTCGCTAGGTTTACCGCTTAGTACATTACCGAGTCCGACGTAATAAATGCCAAATTTTTCAAGGTAAACGCTAATAGTGCATGGGAATGTGGTAATGGTCCATTCACTACATGCCATCAGCAACGACCAACTTTACCGAATAGTTTCCATTAAAATATTGTGTATTAAATTGGAGGCAAACGATTAGAATGAGGGATTTTCGATGCTCTTTGGTTAGTGGAACACATGCATGGCCTCCATAAAAATCATTTAATATAAGATGCTTAAGCCTTTATTTGTTCCTTCATGAGCTATAAATTGTGCTTTTTTCCCACTTTTTAAGGCTGTTTTGTGCTGAATCAGTAGATTCACACTGAGTTTCAATGGAGACTTGCGAATATTGCAACGAAAATACTTGCACAATTGTGGATCTCAGAGAACGATTTAGTTTGGTAAGAAAGACTAATTTCACGGAGTTGTGAGATATCAGAAATTCCCATTTGCACAGCAGAAATTTAACAATCAATTAAAATTCCATAGAAAGAACAACAACATAGCTTTTGCTGATGAAGATTGCTCTCCTCTGTACGATTCTAGGCGACTTTTCATAGTATGGTTCATAGTGAATAGATTTGAAGAACTCTTAAAGTATTGTTGGCAAACTCCCAACATCACGAGGAGGTCACATCTTTGTTGTAAACCTCGCCACCAAAGTGAATGGTGACCGCACTGTTTTTAAATAGCAGCAAACGTTACTAGAACTACCATTTGCCCTATCCCACTTTGCATCTCCTTGACTCTACAGCTTACAATACACGGACAAGTTTCCCAAATAACTTGGATGTGCTGTACAACTAGTATCCACCACGTCAATGCCTAGAGGGTGATAGTGTGAAGTTAAATGCTTTGTATATGCGTTTTGGTGCGAAGAAACGCAAGGGGACGAGGTATTTCGATGCGATTAGGTAAAGATGTACCAATATTGTCACACTCGGCCAATTGAATACAGGCATGCATGATAGTGCGAACTAGGCGGCAAATCGGATCGCCTTTTTAGTGCATCCAGAAAGCTGTCATGCCGTTCGTTTGAGTTGACGCCATGCGGTTTACCTTTCTACAGGGTATGTATTACAGGCTGCTGCCAGCACCGACCCATCTCATTCTTTAGTTCTCCAAAGTGCCTTCGTATGATTTTATGGCTTTTACTTAAGAGTGCTATGCTTGCATGAACTTCACATTCATAATAGAAGTAGCATTTTGTCGCACTTGCGACGGTAAAGCACTAGTTTGGTGCTTTGTGCTCCCTCAGGCTACGTCGGCCTCACGACCATTCATTTTGCATGTGGCGAAGTCCAGAAGGCGGAACTCCAAGGAGCTTCATCACAACAACTATGCTGTGAATGGATATGAATTTCTGCGCTTAGTCTTTCCATCCTTAAAAATTTGCCCCTTGAAGATCTGAGCAAGCCAATATAGATTATGAAGTGGTTTGAAAGTCCTTTGGGTCGGGGTCCCACTAACCCGTGATATACTCGCAAGTGACACCAAAACTTCGAAACCACGTTTGGATGGCATCGAAATGGACTCAAGTCAAGGTTAACTTTTCGATGAAGTGTGTTTATCACCTTTATACTTCCATCTAATGGCAGAGCACGCTCTACGTCTCAAGTGAGGTGCAACAGTAGCGGCAGGAAATGTGCTATCACAAGTTATTTTCCAGGCGATATTAGGATTCACTGGCTGCTGGCGTGAGGGTAACGAAAAGGTGCCTGTATGATGAATTCAAGTTAAGGGTTGACCTTCATTCTAAGAATGTCTAACCTAAATTCTCGACACGGACGAGACAATGCATATCGTAAAGCAACGCCACTTAAATGCTAAAACCTTTACAAAAGCCACCCCGACCAATGTTATCGGCTGAGTGTCGAAGTAGTATGGAGGCATTCAAATTCAACTCTAATTTATAAACAAGGAACAATCGGAGGTGGGAACCACTACAATACAACGAAGTGAACAGCTTATAAAGTTGTTACCATGATGGCAGGTTAAGTGGTGGGATGCATTAGGGTCACGCGCTCAAATGTTATAGACAAATTTGGTAGATAAAAAGTTAACATCCTCCAAGAAAGGATCCCAATTTTGAAGCATTCGAGCTTCCTACGAGTCTTCTCCTCAAAATTGTTCTATGGTCATCCCCTTAGTGATTTTCTGAAGGTACTTTATCTTCAGCAAATGGAAATGGAAACACAATTTTACCCAGCAGAACTGGATGTTTCTGAAGGGAAACGTAAACGACATTCGTGTTCATACATAGGCAGAAATTGACAGTTGCTCCAATGAATGGTTCTAAACTCATAAGTGACTTTAGCGGCAAAATGTTTACGGTACTGAAATTGGTCTTGTATATATATATATATATATATATAAGCCATTACGACTAGTCTGGTTAATGGACTTAACTTTACGGAACAACACAGTTTAGGGGGAGGAAGAAAGGGAGGGACTGTAAATAATTCTAAAATTACGTTCTCCATTTTGGAGTCCGACTATCTAAAAACGCTTTGCAAGAGTAACATTAGTGACCGTATTCGCTTTTATTCATTGCCAACTGCGTTCTCCACGAAAAGTGGTATAAACACTGTCCCTTTTTAAAGGAAGGGTAGTGTTAGAGGTTTAGGTTTTCGCTATCGGAATGAGACCCCACGATTAGGCGCATCAGTACCATCGACCAATCGGTTTGCGGGGTTTCTTAATAACCAATGGCCAGCGAGTAATCCCGACTACTGGACGGCTGATAAAATTGCGCTTACTGACCGAAGATGTGAGTTTACAGTACGCTGGAGGTAGCTCTACGGTGTTCGCCCAAACCGGAATACTGTACCCACCGCTAGGCGTAGGTCCATAGTATTGTTTTTCCTTTTTGCTACTGTTTATGGTAAGCGATTATTGGAATTTGGTGTACTCGTAAACTTTTCATTCACCTTAGCAGCGCAATGAAAACCTGACTTTTCTCTACGTTCGCTGCCTGCTACAATGCTAATCTAGATCTTTGCATCACTACATACATGGATCAAATACGATATGCAAACTAGACGTTTAGTAATGCCTAAAACCTTTTTGCTTCTTTTTGAAAAACGTCCTTAAATACTGGTTTGATAACCAGATGGCTTGGTTAATCCTACTTGAATTTATTTTGTCAGGCATTGCAAAAGCATCTAGGGAAATAGTTGACTTTCAGAGCTATCCAAAGGCAGAGTAATTTCGCAGGGATGTGTCAGTTATTTGTAATAAGCATGCTAGTTACGAAAGCCAGGTGCAGATTGACGCAGCTAATTCTGAAACGTTGGATAGTCGCTTCCGTCGTTTCCTAACAATACTAACATCATACGTCCGAAGGTCTCATCCTAGCGTGTGTTCTTGTTGGCCAGGTATCTGTCATGTAGGCAGACACTCGTGTTAACTTGTTCCCTGAGGCGCTATTGCGACCCGGTTAGTTCGTGTGTTTTTGGTGCGCTTAGACTCCTTCACAGCCGTAGGCGTTGTGTCCAAAATGTCGGCTGTTCTAATGGGTTCCATATTCTTTCGGGCTTTGGTGTTGTTTCTTGTTAAGAACGTTTGACTTAGCATGGCATAGGCTAAGTTTACGAAATGTGAAAATGCCATACGAGGCATTTGAGTGAAATAATCTTAGGTGGTTAGAACGCTTGCAACAACCAAGACAGATGTAAAAAATGTTTGAGCATAAAGACTCTAAGACGCCATGCAGCATACTATTTCACTAATCTCCGAAGTTTCAGTGAAGCAATCTTAAAGTTTTCATGAAGTCTTGCGCGACTCAATTTTGGAGGCTTGATTGTACCACCCATTTGGTCATAAGTTGAAAATGAACAAGTTATCAGCTTTATAAACACTTAGCAGAGGAAGTTTATGGAGGTTATGGCGTCGTTAGTCCACGGTTAGTGGGCCAGTACGTTAGCTAAAGTCGGGATTTATGGGTTGAAATGTGTTTTGCGTGTCATTTACATGACACACTCGCTAGACCAATTCCGAAATCTTCTTTTTTATCCCCTACAATAAGAGTCAGTGTGACTCCTGTTCGTTTTGCAAATGGCCACCTGTCAACTATCTGGCCAAAGTAATGCGGTTTGAGTTATGTACCTGGTTTTCAAGATCTACATCTAGTAATCCTTTTGTTTGCCTTGTGAAGAACTGTCATGTTACAAACTATCAGAACAGTTATTTCCATACAACCGGGTTATTATTAATTAATTAATTGATACTGCTTCTAGCTTTTGGTTTGTCCTAGGCTCTTTGCAGCTTACCGCTATTTTCCCACTTTTGACCTGGTAATGGAGTGAGAATAATGAGGATTTGCTTTACTGCCAATACTTTCAGCTCAGCATAGTTGAAGAGTGTCTTTTCATGCCTAAGTGCTTTAAATTATGGACACGGGGATATTTTGAGACATGTCGACTAAACTCCACGCTCTTGGGGCTAAGCCACGGGACTTCCGCTTTCCATTCAGCTGAATGGACAGTTTTACAGACGTGTATGAAAGCGACACCAACCCGACAGCTCTCTGAAACGTTATCGTTTATTGAGTCATGTTGATTACCATTTATTTTAAATAGCAACTTGAATAATCCTAAAAACGCATATTTGAGAATGCGAGATCAAATTTCAGCTTCATTTACACGTTGTCAGTTGCCACTAGATCTGTTAAACTGTTTACACGTTCAGTGTTTACGCTAACTCTTTCACACAAACAGCCAACATGCTCCACCTTCTGATCATGTAATTGAGAGTAAGAGTATGAGTGAAAGGCTTTCCTTCCTTTCCCTGCAGCCGATCACTAGTCCACCGACTTGAAAATGGTTGGAATAGAATTCATTGACTATTTGACAAAACTTCGCGTCTCCGATTTCCTCGGCTTGGAGGATTTTGCAGACAAAATGAATTTCATGTACTCTGTTCTCATCCTGCTACTTTGCACAACAATAATCGCTGTCAAACAGTACCTGCTTGCCAGCATCGCATGCTACATACCTACAGTACCTTCTGGCAAAGACTTTGAGAAATTCCTGCAGAACTTCTGCTGGGTTCACGGAACGATTCCTATTTTGGAGGGGGAACACATTCCTCAAAACTACTCCGAGTGGCACGATGCTGACGAAAATATGCGAATTAGTAAGTATCATGGCTTGAATTTATTCGTATAGCTGCCGGTTTATGATTTTGAGTTAGTGAGTCTGTGTTCTGGCCTCGTGTTTCACAATTGGTGTAAGTGGTAGCGCGAAGGGGGATTGTTTAATCAAGCAAAATTGTCTGTTTGTATTTTGAAGTTATCCTGACGCATCTAACAAGGGTATTTGCGTGTACAATATGTAGACTACTACCAGTGGGTACCCTTCATGCTTGGTCTACAGTGCATCCTTTTCTACGTTCCTCGCGTCGTTTGGCAGATCATCTGCTACAACCGCACCGGTACAGATTTGGAGAACCTCGTTGCTGTGGCGAACAAAGCGAGCAACACTATTGAGAACGACCGCAAGATGCTTGTGAAACACGTTGCCGGAACAATGGCAGAGATGCTGTTCCAGCACCGCGACTACCGTCATGGCAAAGTCGCTGACGCACGCCGAAAGGCCTTCAAATTTTGCGGGATGTTCATTGCCAGCAAGCGTTTGGGAACTTGGCTTATTTTCACCTATCTTTTTATAAAATGCATCTATCTTGCAAACGCGATCGGCCAGCTCTATTTAATGCAAACTTTCCTTGGATTCAACAAATCGATGAGTAATTTCGGTTATGAGGTTGCTAGGTACATGGTAAATGGTCGCGACTGGGATGAGACCCGAATTTTTCCTCGTGTCTCCTTCTGCTACCTGGAGCATGTCCGTCATCTTGGCACCACCAATCGATACGTGGCCCAATGCGTACTTCCTGTTAATATGCTGAATGAAAAACTGTACATTTTCTTGTGGTTCTGGACGGCCATTGTAGCTGTCTGCACAGCTATTTCCATCCCACTTTGGATTATGCGGCTAGGCCGTGAAAAGAACAAGGTTCACTTTATCAAGAAATTCCTCCGTCTCCAAGATATATACACTACAGAGCATAAGGAAATTCTGCGCAACTTTATTTCTGACTTCTTGCGCCACGACGGCGTCTTCCTGTTGCGCATGATATCAATGAATGCTGGTGATGTTGTAACTGCCGACGTTGTTGTGGAGATGTGGGACATCTACAAGACCAAGTTTAAGAACAGAGCTATGCTGAATGACATTGCGCGCGATATTGCTGCTCAACGAAGACAGCTCGAAGAAGGTGGCGAAACAACACAACGCAGAACACCTTACGAGAAGAAGGCATCGGCCGTTTAGATCGCCAAGCGAAAAACGGAAGCACACCCGAAAAACTCGTATAATGCTCAAGAAAAGTAACCCCATTTCTTTCGCGAATGCAGCTTTTGTTGGAGTAATTTTGGTATACTGATTTTGTCATAAGACTTGGAACATGAATCCGCCTTTCCTCCTTCAGCATTAGACCTGATTACAGATAGTTTTGAACGTTTCAAATAGCAATTTGTATATTCCTCTGAAGACAAATAAATACGCTTTCAGTCATTACACGCCGTCTTTTTGGAATGCCTGTGCTTAAACAAGCTCACAATTGATGAACCTTAGTGAGACATCTACTAATTTAAATAATGAAATTTTTTGAATAAATATGGCAGAAAAGCGAGTAGACTTTACGTTTTAGAAGTTAAGCTTAGCAAAAATAACAATATAGTTAAGACGGTAAATCCTTTAGACAGTACAGCTTTCAAGCTTGTCACTCAGGGTGCTTTGATGTTTTTTTCTGCTTTGTAGAATTGAGTTCTGAATCACAATGTCTCAGTTGGGGTCAGATTTTATGAATTTTTATCAGAAGTATCAGGCGGCCACACTTATAGGTATTCAGGACTGGGCGGACCGAATGAGCTACCTGCACAGCACCATAATTTTCCTGCTGTGTACAGCCATAGTATCTGCAAAAACTTACATCCTTCAGCCCCTGGCTTGCCACGTGCCCACTGTCCCATCGGGTTCTGATTTTGATTCATATTTTAACTCCTACTGCTGGATACATGGCACCACACCAATTCGCGCCAACGAGACCATTCCTGAGGACGATGCCGCGTGGGTTGAATTGGAGAATGAGCGGAAAATAAGTAAGTACGTCAAATTTGCCATACATACACATTCATAGGATTCTGATTACAATGTGATAAGTTGCATAATCGAAAAGAATGAAGTCGCAGGCCAATCGTATGTTTTTTTCACCTCTAGCATACTACCAATGGGTTCCCTTTATCCTGGGTCTTCAGACCATAATGTTTTATCTGCCACATGTTGCTTGGCAGAACATCACATTCAATCGCCTTGGAGCAGACCTTACTGCCATCGTTGTGAAGGCGATGGATGCTCTCAAGACCTCATCACCTGAGAATAGGGAAAAGATGGTTGCGAATGTAGCAAAACGACTGGAGCTTCTCCTGTTCGCACACCGCGACATTCGTCGCGGCAAGCGGGCGGCGATCAAACGCCGGCTCCACGCAATCTGTGGCATCTTCTTGGTCAGCAAGAGAATGGGTATGATCGTTGTCCTTCCCATCCACCTCTTTCATCATTTTTATTATGCCAGCGTATTCAATTTTTGGATTTACGTGGGAGGAGTCGTGAGCAGATTTACATTCTACGCAACAACACTAAGACACACATCACAACTAGCTCATTTTCAAAAACTAGCAGAGTGAAAACCCAGGCTTTGTGTACTGAATAAGCATCAGTGTCTTACTTATCTTCAGATTGAGAATCTGCCAAAAGACAGTTAAATTTATATGCAGACAGATTAGGCAAAAAGATGGATGTTGTAACCGAATCACGATTATTTCACTGGGACTATAGGAACCTGGACAGTGTTCTCGTACCTTTGCATCAAAATTCTCTACCTTACAAATGCAATCGGGCAACTCTATTTAATGAAACACTTCCTCGGTTATGACGAGGACATGGTGGGCTTTGGACTGACCTTGGCCAACTCTCTGGTTTCGGGGATTAAATGGGAGGAGTCTCTTTATTTCCCCCGAATCGCCTTCTGCAGCATCACCATTCGTCATTTGGGTCAAAAGACCAATCGCTACATGGGCATGTGTGCTTTGGCCATTAATATGCTCAATGAGAAACTCTACGTCTTCCTTTGGTTTTGGACTCTCGCTGTCGCCATAACAACTGGTGTAAGTCTTATCAATTGGTTCCTTCGTCTGGCCATCAGGCGGCGACAGACGAGCGTTATTCGCAGGTATCTCAAGCTGAAACCTCTGATGTTAGAGCCTGAGAAGAACGGTGATAGCAGTCCAACACCTTCTGAAGCCTTAGATCCGAGCAGGCCAGACACTGTGGAGCGCTTCATTCGCGAGTTTCTCCGCATGGATGGTGTCTTTATCGTTCAGATGCTTAACATGAACGCGGGCGATGTCATCACTGGTGAAGTGATTCGCCTCCTGTGGCACACTTGGGTGACCAAGTACGCTGACAAGAAGGATTTTGGCAACGATCCTTGGATTGACCCCGACTTTCCCGATGACATGGACGAAATTGACAAAATAAAGATGGAGTTGGCCGACACGAAGGAAGAGTTTGAATAAAACTCAAGAAGTTAATTTGAACTATTATTGCTCAACAATCGGACAAGCAATTTCGATAATTTTCATTTTAGAATGACAAATCGCGTAACACATCGAACTGAGCTGACATTTTCCTATTCCCTTGACATTCCAATGCTCTCATGTAAGTAGCAGTGCCAGAAGCAGTCTCATGGAGGAGGCTCATATAGGGACCAACGGGATCTGGGTGTGATTTACTATAAATCGGTGAATTTGTTAAAATACTTCTATTTTCTGACCAGATTAGCTGATAATGCCTATCACTAGGTTAACAAATAGTAACCTAAATTACCCGTTTTTCATTCTGTGATGTGGTGGATGCCATTACTAATAAAAAGGAACTTTAAATCTCCAAATACAGTTTTGGATAGTCGGCTATGAGGTCCCAAGTTTTCAACTTGTCAGTCATCCCCAACTGAAGGAGTGGCAGTCGATGCAAACTAGGTGTCATTTTATTGCATTGTGGATACTCGACTGTGCGATACCTCAGGGTCTGAATATCTTGGTGCCAGCCCCTCAGCTCAGCAAGCACAGCAATGTCATGATGGTGCTTTGTTAAGCAACCACAGATGGACTTTGACCACGGTTAGAGACCCAATTTGGAGATAACCGAGTGAATTAATACAGCTGCAGCTGGGTGAAGTTATATTTCTCCATCAAAAATTCCCCATAACATACCCAAATCTAGTCGCAAGGCTTAATGTCATTATGAGATGCCTAATGTCTAAAGTGGTCTCTTATTGTACTATCATATTATCGAGAATGAACTTGTAGTGTGCAAGCAAACGACCACTTTCCTCAGACGATTTCTTGTGCAGATGATTTATTCTGTGATGTTAGATTAGGGACGAATTTGTTACACGCCTTATCACCGAATCAGAGGTGTTATGAAAAGCACAGAAAGTTGACTTCGACCTTCGTCTATGGAACTTGAATACTTATTTTAAATCTACGTGGAGTAAAGCATTTGCCCAGGCGGAATTGTAGAGCAAGGGGGCTAGTCTTCAGATGAGTTTTGACCCACCTCATTTTAGAGTGATAACATTGTTGTCCAGTGCTCACAATCAAATTCGTCTAGTTGGGGAGCCCCTACGGTCTGGAGTAACAAATGACAGACTAGAAACGGTGACAATGGGGCATCAATTCACCGCCAGCGCAATGACAGTTGGTCCGCCTCCCAATTCAAAGAGACTGAATGTAGTTCAATTTTTACAGTCGGATTTGCAATAAAAGGTAGAACTTATTGAATGCCTGCATAAATTTGTTAAATGAGAGAAAGCTAAGGCAGGACGAAGAGAAGTGCTTGTGCTTTTTTTGTAACTAGTGTTGCCTTGCGGTGGAAAATAACAGGTTTCATTAACAGTATTATGAAGATTACACAGCGAGTTGCTGAGGCAGGCCATAATTGAATGCATCGCGTGCAAAAGAGTCAAAGTGGTGAAAATCTAGCGTTTCGTGACTGACACGGGATGATCATGCCGCTATTGGAAATGTGAGAGGTGAAGGTGGAAACGGTGGGAAGTGTAAGTCCAACAGATATAAAATGCATTAAGATGGACGCAAACAATCATGCAGTGAAATGCAAGAGTCACCAACAAAAGTGCTTATTTGCACATCAGAGGAATGAAAATGTGTTTAAGCGGATGATGGTTAAACTGACAACG